CAGAAGAAGATACATTCCTAGCATTTTATGCTAAAACACTGGGGACAAAAGAAAAAAAAAAAAAGTCTTAATAGATTTTTCATACTATTCTGTTCAATAGGAAGTCATACAACTACCAGTCTATCAGCTGAGAGCACTGCTTGGGAGCTAATCCACAAGTGACAAACATCAGTTTCCTCAAGCAGAGGGACTGAGAGGCCTGGCAGAGCTATCTCCTATATGTGACACAAGTGCGTGGACTTGAAGCTCGTGTGGCAGGGCCTCTGTCAAATCATGCCCACAACCACATCTGTCTGCTGGAAACTGCCAGGGAAGTAAATAGCAAATGAAAGATGAGAATATTGCAGCTGACTGAAGTATCGTTCAATTGACAGAAGAAAAACTGAGGTGATTGAAAGCTGTTGGGTTAGAGCAGTTCAAGAAAGTACCATCCCATCAGCAGGATTTTAATATCCCCTTGGCAAGGTGCTACGATGGTCTGCGTGTGCGTCTTTCTTCTGTGCAACACTGGCAGACAACACACGGCACCTCCCAGTGGTCTGACAAAGCCACCCTGAGAGTCTGTGCTGAGTAGTGACCCAACCCCACGAAGGCAAATGTGATGCAATCTACATATTTGTAGTCTGACAAAAAAAGAGTTCAAGACATTAATCAGTGTTTGAGCTCTGAGGTGAATTCTGGGCTAATCTGTCTGGTTTATAATTGACAGTAGACGTATCTGTCTTATAAGATGTGACCATCAGGGAACCCTGCAGAATATGTCATTTCAAACAGCACTTCTAGAAAGAGGATGTCTGGACAAGGGTAGGAAATTAAACTTTGAAATTAAAAAATGTTTTTAAAAATGTTCAATGAATGTCACTGAAGCAGCAAAGCTAGAAGAACTACACTACCTTCAACTGGTTTCTTACCCAGAGCAGTCCAGAATTCAGAAATATGGTAACTGAACAAAAATACAACACCGTCAACCAGTTCTGATATCAAGGGCATTAACAAGACCAATTTTAAGATAAGAATTAAAGAGAAACAAAGGACAAGCAAAACCAACGAAGGATTTAAAAATACTTCCATCTCAAAATGCCTCCATCTTTCTTTCAAAGAGCCAGACCACAAGGGAGAAGCTTTCACTTTTGGATACTGAGTGGTGAAGATAGCAGCATAAGCCTTTCAAATGATGTTGAACATAGAGGCAGACAACTTGAGGTTACATCAGGGCCACCTGGGAATAAAAGCTTGTCTCCAGAAAGTGAGAAGCATCCCCAGTGTGCTTTTTCACAGGCCGAAACTGTCTTCTCATCAGAAATGACATGTCTATTTGTAGAGAGTTTATGCTCCACATCTGGGAATTTAATCATATTACTTCATCCTGCTGCCACAGTTGATCAAATAGCAAGGTTGAACTGGAAGATAAAATTTTCATTTTTAAGTCTATAGAATGTATTTGGGAAAAAAAAAAACACGTCAGGCCTATCCAGAGAAATATTCTGTAAGAAGTGTCAGTAGCACTTTGGTATAATAGATTTGTCATCCGAACATGCATGTTCCTTGATTCCTGTGGTACAGCACCATGAAACTCTGCAGTAGTAAAAGGGGGACCGAGGAAGGACAAGAGGCATGCAAAGGCCAGTGCCTGCAGTGGCGAGGCAGGAGAGCTCCCATCAGCAAGGAGAACCTTTCGGTGTCAGGGAAAATGAAGCACTTGGAGGTAAGGCACAAAGGCAGCCATGGAAGATAGTGAAACACACGCTGTTGGAGCACAGGTAACTCAACCCATGTAAAGGGCCACCGACTGCTCCTGAGATCTGATAAAGGTTGTCACTGCTGAAAGATGACACCAAAGAGAAAAAGGCTGATGGGAGGGAGCACTGACAAAAGCACCTTCTTCGTTTGGTGGTGAAACAATACAAGAAAGGAGCCTGATCTGGTGACCGCTCTGTAACAGCCTACTTTTTTCGCCAGCTACCATCCTTCAGCAAAGCCTGGCAGCCAAAGACAGCAGTGGGCAACCTCTGCAGCGACAGCTGCTTTCCCCAGGCGCTGCTCTGCACAGCCCTCTCCAGAGTGTGAGCCTGAAGGCAAGGAGTTTTTTAGGGCTCCAGGGCTTTTTCCCATCCTTGATCTCTTCTCGTAGATGACTGCTGAAGAACTCCTGACATCTGTCTGTGGTTATGGTCTGCAAGACTGCCCTTCCAAATAAAAGCTTGCAGATTATATTGAATTAATTTCATCTGTAGGCTCATGTAAATTGGTAATATACATAATCCCTTTTAAAAATGCAGAATCCTTTTCCTAAGTGGTCAACACCAAGTACTTCTAAGGAAAACAGAAGAAATCTTCCTAATCCTTGCTAGTTAAAAATTTCCATAATCATAAAATATGAGGCTTCATGTCTCTTTCTAGATGTATTATAACATGTTTCAAATGTTACACAGATACCAGTATTAAGTAGCAGTTCTTCAAATATTATTTCTCTCCCATGTTTTTGATCTCTTTTTTTTCAGTCTTGCCTGGTGTTCAATCCTCATGATGTACTACAGGCTGAGAGAGTTGGGGCTGTTCAGCCTGGAGAAGAGAAGGCTCTGGGGTGATCTTATCGCAGCCTTCCAGTAACTAAAGGGGGCCTACAGGAAAGCTGGAGGGGGACTTTTTACAAGGGCATGTAGTGATAGGACAAGGAGCAATGGATTTAAATTGAAAGGGGAGATTTAGATTAGATATAAGGAAGAAATTCTTCACTCAGAGGGTGGTGAGGCACTGGAACAGGTTGCTTAGAGAAGTTGTAGATGCCCCATCCCTGGCAGTGTTCAAGGCCGGGTTGGATGAGGCTTTGGGCAACCTGGTGTAGTGGAGGGTTTCCCTGCCCATGACAGGGGGGTTGGAACTAGACAATCTTTGAGGTCCCTTCCAACCCTAACCATTCTGTGATTCTGTGATTCCACTACAGCAATACTAGATGCCATAGCATAAGAGTTTAAAGAAATAAGTGGGGCAAGGCTTGTAGGGAGAGGACATAGCTTTCATTAGACAAACATAGTAATTATATAGTGAATGAAAAACACACTTCTGTGCCTCAGTTTTGAATTTGCCAGTTATTTTCACTCTGTGCCCCTGGGCTTTTGGGCAGTTAAATAATGAGACACACCTCCTGCTTCCTCTACACCTTTCTGTATTTTAGGTGATTTTTATAGTGCCCTTGCTTATATGTCTCTTTTCTAGAGTGAACAATCCCAGCTTTTATGGATTTCCCATGCCCTGAGCCCTGGGAGGAAAGGGAAGGGAAGGGAAGGGGAAAGGAGGGGAGGGGAGCGGAGGGGAAAAAGAAAGAAAAAAATATTTCAGTCTTTACAATTTATAATGCTGCTACACTTTAGTAATAAGTAAAGCTACACAAATAACAATCAGAAATTTAATATGCCACATCACCCTGTAATTATTGCTCAAAGTTTTTCCTACTGTTTCAGCCTTTGCTGCCTCTAGCTAAATATGTATGATTCTCTGTAACTCCATTTTTGTGTGTGTTATTATGAAATTAACTGTGTCTTTCATTAGTCTTTAAGGTAATATTTAATTATTGTTTTATTTCTATCAATATAAATAAAAGAAGAAATTTTCCATTTTCTCTAATAAGAACAAGATTAAAAATCAATTTCTAAGCTATCTAATTTTTAAAAAGTGATTTTAAAAGCAATTAGACTATAGTTTTGAATTATATAGCAAATCATTTCATGTTTTAGAGCACACAATAGTCAAGGGTCATTTCTTTAGTAAATTTAACTCAGTTTTCCAATGTAGCTCATATTTTGTTTTGTTTTTCCTGACACTACTATCTCTATCTTCATTGTAGTGCAATATGAAAATATATGAAGACCTGATGTTTCTTGCAGCCATTTGTATTTCTGAGCAGTGGTGTTCCCATCTCCTCTGGTCTAACATCTCATCTGAGGGGTTAGATGCCCTCCAAGAGCCAGCCTCAGTTCACCTTCCTAAGTGCACTGGTGCTGACTACCAGGTCACAGGTGTTTTATAAATGGGTAAACTAGGGGCATGAAGGCTAAGTCACTTTCAGAGGGCCATGCACATGCAGAGCCAGAAATAGCGATTAAATAAATTATGCTTAATAAAGTCTATGAAACAGAATCGCATCAAGTAGATTTCACTTCTCCCATTACTCAGTAGTCTTTAACAAATCCTTAATTGGTATAAATCACAGTGACCTCCTGAAACCATTGAAGCTTTCTCATTTTCCAGAAAAAGAAAACTGACCTGTTCGTTTTCTGATTTGCCTTTTCTCTCCTCACCAAAAGAAACAAACCCCAAAATTTTCCATGCATGGAATCCCTGAGGATATGGTATTAAGCTTGGCTGGTTATGAAATTCAGAGTAGGGCAACCACCTACTTCACAAGATTTCAGGCAAAAACTGTTGGTTTTAACAAACTTACCTTGGTGAGTGTTTTTACTTCAGTCTGCTGTTGAGATAGGAAAATGCAGGTAGCCCAACCTCTCTTTCTGCACTTTCCTCATGCAATTGGTAAAGTCTCAGAGATACCAACAATATATGAAATGGCTGAATACCTTTTCCTCTGAAATGATGTAGTTGTCCCCTCTTGCTGCTCACCTTTGTCACATGCAACGTGTGAAATACCTAATGCCTAAGCAGCAATTCAAAGAGTCCTTAGCAGTCACTGAGCTGTTCAAGCAGTTTGGCTCTGGAAATACTGAGCCAGAGTCAGGTCAGATGTGCAAAGAGCCTGTGAGCAGAGTTACATGACAATAAAATTGGCATGAGAGGAGCCCCAAGCAAAATGAAGCAGATGATAAAGGCACGATTTGCTTGCTGTTAGCGATGCCTTTGTAACATCACAGGCTATCTCTAAGCTATATTTTCCACTGAATTGCTGGCTTGCAAAACTTTTAATGGAACAAGTTTTTCTGGCAGAAGAACACTGATTTTTATCTTTAGTGAGCAGCCTCTATCATTTAGCTTCAGGAAACAGCTTCCTGGTTGTAAACTCCTTGAGAGTGCTGACAGCCAGTCAACTTCAAAAGCAGCCAGAAGAAAGTTTCTTGCTAACTTTGGGAAGGAATTCAAAAATGCTGAAAGGTGCAGATGATGTCGTTATGGAGCAGGAGGACTCTGCATCCCGACATGGAGAAATGACAAGTTGGGATATCAATGACCTCAAACTTCCCCAGGTATGTGTCTGTGTCTTAGAAATTTATCCGGTTCTGACCAGTCTTCTCCACTTCACCACTAATCTTAAATGCTCTCTCAGTCATCTATGCCTCATCGCCTTTATTCTCTTTACCACTTTGAAGTATGGGACAATGTTTTGCTGAAAAGTTAGAAAATATCCAGAAAAATATTGAAGTTTCCATGCATTTTTCCTTAAATATATTATTGAAAGAGCTTCTGATACACAAAAAATAGTGATACTGTAGATGTGTTGGCTTTCTAGTCCACTGGTGGATAAAGTGCAGGGGAAGCAGGGGAAAAAAATATTCTCCTGCTGTGGCTGCTCCATTAGAGTTGTCCAGGACTCGCTTTTTGACCTGGGTAGTGGTTTATGAGAGGTGAGCACAGCACCCACAGGTGTCTTGCAGCCTCGCTGCAGATGGGGCTCCAGGCAAGCAGGCTGACTTTCCGCATGGAGGCAACACTCCTTTCATGACCATCTCAGAAAAGCTTGCTTCATGTGGGCAGAGATTTGCAGAGAGGCAGAATAGCAATCTTTCCCTCCCTCAGTCCTTTTCTAGTGCTCTTATATAAAAGGCTCATCCATGCTCTCCACTGAAAGCACCCTGCTCCCCAGTTTCATCTCCCTGTCCCTCACCTTAGCATATTTGTACCAGATTCCTCCTGCTGTGGTCCTCAGCATCCAGCTCTTTCATCTCCCAAACTTGTCTTGTTACCTGATCCCAGCCTCCTCCCTACTGTGTCACTGCTGTTCACCCAAAGCCTCCACGTCCCAGGCTGCCTCCATCCCTGCCCTTCACCCCAAGGTCACCTTCACCTGCATTTTAGCCTGAAGGCTTCCTCCCTACTTTTCCCTATGCTCTCCAACTGCTCCTGGGGGAGCACAGGAGCTTTTTTCTTCTCAGTTGATGTTCTTGTGGCTGTAATGGCTCTCAGTGGCTGGGATCAGCAATTTCAAGGAAATTCCTACTAAGTTTTTGTACCCTTGCAAGACCCTTTCCCTCAAAACCATCAGCATGTATGTTTCATGCTTTACAACTTACTGCATTTTATTGTGTTGACTGTATCCATTGAGGCAATGTGTGGCTGGTCCTTTGTGGGTTTTTTCCATGGAGTTTTATTTTTATTGTTCCTTACAGTCTTGTAATTGATTGTTTGGTTTTTTTTTTTGCTTAGTCCGTAACAGTGAAAATAAAACCTGACTAGAATGTTAGGTTTCTTTGTTTTGGACTTTAGAAAAATGACTGTGGAAATTTTTCACAGCAGTTAGGCCAAAACGAATCAAAGTCCAGAACTAAAGACCTACAGAAGCGGGCACAGTCTCAGTCCGATTCAGTAGTTGCCCCCTTTCCAGCAAGTTGAGCCAAACTAAGCCAAATGATTCAGTGTAACGCTGCTGTGAATAGCCTGAAAGACAAAGCAGGATCTCTGCCATGAAAGCCAACAGAAGTTTGTCAGGCGGTGACTGCTGCCTGCAAGGAAAGTGTCAATTATTTTTCATCGGGCCCCTCACCTTCCTTTCCTGGTGAGGTCCTGTTTTGAGCTGGACTCGTGGGTGAGTGAGAACAACCTTCTGGCTGGGATTTCTTGATGCTTTGGGGCTCACATGGAGCCACAGGGAGCTGTGTTTTTTCCACCTTCTCTCCACTGCTCCTTCCTGCCAACCAGCATCACCTGTCAGGGTGCTGAAGCCACCCAGGCTAGAGGACACCCAGCAGAGGACCAGGTCTGCTGGGCTTTTGCACAAGCTCTTCTCTTCCCCAGCCTAGAACATGGCTTGCTTTGGTCTCTCCACAGGACGTAAGACAGATAGACTGGTTTCAAGAATGGCCGGATTCCTACGTGAAACATATCTACAGCTCAGAGGATAAAAATGCTCAGAGGCACCACAGCAGCTGGGCAATGAGAAACACCAATAACCACAACTCTCGCATCTTAAAAAAGTCCTGCCTCGGGGTGGTGGTCTGTGGCAACAACTGCTCGACCTTGGATGGAAGGAAGATCTACCTGAGACCAGCCATATGTGATAAAGCTAGGCAAAAACAACAGCGTGAGTATGAAGATGGCTGTTCTTTGGATTATTCAACCTTGCCACTGCCATTCCTCATATTCAAATGCAACTCTTGATTTTGGAACAATGCGTTTTACGTTTCTTACTGTTGGGAAGGGATTTGTGTGCTTGTTTGTTTTATTTTTTTTCCTTCTAAATCTCTGCTTTTGAAGGAAAATGGTTAGCGATCAATTCTCAGCCTTCTCAGGCCAATGAGCAAGGCTACTGAGAAAGCTGTGCAGTGCAGGAAGCTTCCTGCTGTGCTCGTCCTGCTGATCTGATTGTTGGCTTCAGTATTGCATGGGCCCAAGAGTAACTCAGGAGGCAAGTCTTGTAGGAAAGAAGTTGTTCATAAACTATGATGACTAGAAAATAGGCCTCATAGTCGTGTCATTGGCACGAGACAGTGCAAATAGATTCTCTATGAGCCACACGCACATTTTTAACAAGATCATTTCAAACAATTGTTGATTTCTCAGTAGGGCTAGCACATACTCATTTTTGGATCTGATGAACATTTTGGCTAAAGAAAGGTATTAGTCAAGCACTTGTTGAGGTCAGTATAACATCCTCTAGAAAAATCAGACAAGAACACATTTGACATTCCAGGCACGTTAAAGTTAAAAACAACTAAAACTGACCAGGATAATAAATGATAACATGACAAGAAGGCTATAATATAAATATTTTTTCTAGTTATATTTAATAATGGAACAGAATAAAGGCAATTATTAGTTTGCTTATATTGATTTTTGCTTACGTTTGAAAGTTTTTTGCACAGTTTTTCCCCAAACCAGAAGTGGCAATCCACCATCAATGAACCATTATATCACATGGGATTCATCTGACCAGTATTGTATATAAAATATTTCCCACCATCTTTGCTCTAGGGAGGTGCTGTCCAAACTGCAATGGACCCCTGCGACTCCTTTCCTGCCGAGGCCATGGTGGTTACCCAGTTACCAACTTCTGGAGGCACGAAGGCCAATTCATTTTTTTCCAGGTTGGTATAAAATTACCTTACATTATTCAAGTTAATTTCAAAGACTGTTTTTTAAGATTGATTAAGGACATTTTTTTTTGTTCCAACAAATAACAATCATTGAATATGAGAAGGTCAAATGATTGTAATGAGAAAAATTTTCATAATGAGTGAGCAAGGTCCTAAGCAATCTGATTTAACTCTAAAGTTAGCCCTACTTGAGCAGGAGGCTGAGCCAGACCTCCAGAGGTCCCTTCCAGTCTAAATTAGCCTATGCTTCTATGATTTTACAGCATATTATATTTTTTGTTTAGTCTCCCATGAAAACCTGTTGACTTTGAAGCACTTTGCCTCATATACAAAGGAACCAAAAAATCCTCAAAAAGTCAGAAACGCAATGTTTTCTCAACCTCTTCTCCAAGGCACCATGCATAAGCATGAGGCTATCTTAGAGCAGGAAATGGTTGTTCCCAACGGACTATCTATGGAAAATGCCATCTGCACATTATATGAAACTTATACCTGCAAAACAGTATATGCGAAAGTTTAAACAGTGGTCACTGTTTCTGGAAGTTGTAGTTCTAGTTTAGTACCATAACCACTGAATTGTCTCCTGTTTTCCAGTCGTTCAGTTATGTGCAGATTAAATAAAAGTAATTCTCTGTGGGAACTAATGGAAATTAATGTCCTGATAAACATGTCTCAAGTGTGAGAAGAAAGGAAATGACTGCAGGGACACTGTAGCCAGCCTGCGACTGGCCTTGTGGCTTCAACTGGGGCCCTAGTGTGAGGAGTCTTTTCTGCATATAAATGCGGTGCAATGGTTTTATGATTTCAGAGAATTTCCACCCCATCACACTTCATCTGAGATATGTTTGTTACTTGCGTTCACATTAAATAAGCCTTATTAAATACAAAGCATTAAACCAGGCCATATGTGTGGTTTTGGCCAGTGCTCCAAATCCTGCTCCCTTAAGATTAATAACAAGTTTGTTTCTAACTTTAACATATCGTAATTCCTTTCTAAAGTCCAAAGGAGCTCATGACCATCCACGTCCAGAAACAAAACTAGAAGCAGAAGCAAGAAGATCAATTCAAAAAGCACAGACAGTTTTTTCTCCATCTTCTCCAAGATTAAAAAGAATCCGAGAGACTGAGGTAACTTTTATTATTGATAAATGAAATGATGGGATCAGTAATCTACAGTTCAAGGCACGGTGGAGGCTATCTGGACTTTGGGTCTTGGAGGGGAACAGGCTTTACGTTTCTACATTCTGCCTTCCTGTGATCAGGCCAAGAAGGAGCAGGACTGTCCTGAGCATCCTTCTTGGCTCAGCACTGTCAACCACTGCCGACACACACCAGCTGGACCCTCTTTGGGCATGGTGGCAGCAGGACATTACATCTACACTGGTAAACAAAGCAGGGCTGAAGGGCAGGCTCAGTCATATCACTAGTCACAAGGTCCCTGGCATGGTTTTGGCCAATGTTAACTCATGCTTATAGATAAAATAACCCAAAAGCACAGAATGTGCCAGAGACCATTCCCTGCTAGGATTTTGGACAAGGTTGCACCAGGTTTGGGTCCCTTCACTGCATGTACACAGCTGGCTTTAAACCTACTTGTACTCCTACGTGCCATCATGCTACAAGCCAGAGACAATAAAAATCTCAAGCTGATGCTGTGAAAAATACCTCTTGCTGGGCTGCAACACAGCCTTTGCATCATTTCGCTTCAGCTCCAGAGGTCACCCAAGGCCAGGATGCAGTATGGACACTGCCAGGCCATGCTTTTTGGACCCCATCACCAATGACAGTCCTTGGCCTCATTTTATTTAGTAGCATGGACATAGCTTTAGAGCTCCAGCTCTTTCCTTTTTTAAATGCAAGAGTTGCCTTTAGAAAGATTTCCTACAAGTTCTTTGTTAATGCTGCTCCAGAAATTAAATTATTTATAAAGAAATCTGGGAATAAAGTAATTAGATATTTGGTCGAATCAGTATTGACATTGAAGTACAATATTAGAAGGTTTTAACTGGATTTAACTTACAGTGTTGATTGCACTACTGTATGAGAAAATTGTAACAAATGGACAGTCGAAAACCAGAAAATACTTTTGGCAATAACTGAGCTCAGGAGAAAGATTTATGTATGTGTGTACACATACACACACACAGAGTATACTATTCTGTTATAGAATATAACAAGACCTATATGATGTGCCTATTATATACTGTGTATGGTATCTTGACAAAACAAACTCATTAACAAGGCAAATCCAGAAATCCTTCCTCCTTCTTCCTCTAGTCCTCCAAACTTTATTTAAGAAAATCCAGTTACTTCAGTAGCAGGCCTGGATCACATCATTTTAGTCAGAGACTTAATGTCCATCAGGGAGAAAGATGATCTCCTGCAGGACTGCTGTCCCCAAGCAGGATTTGGCCACCTGCAGACCCTCATGGTCTGTGAGGGCACCCTCAGTGTAGGAGGCATTGATCCACCCTTGGAGAGACAGTGGGAGGTCGTGTTTTCTTGACATTGACATGTGTACCAAGGTCCTCCACTGACATGGAGGAGGTGCTGCAGGAAATCGAGGCACACTCCACCTCTGTGCATCTTCCCTTGGTTTTGCCAGGGTTGATAAGGAGAAAGTGCATCAGCTCTGCCTGGTGTGCCCCACTTGCTCCCTGGGTCCCCAGGAGGGGTTTGAAGGCTGAGGAGTGTTTTAAAGGACTTATAGAAGCACTGATGTTAAAACATCAGCTCTGCTGGATGTGGAAACACTTGTGAAATAGAGCATCTACAGAGATCCTGTGGGATGCTCCATGCCTCATGGAGGGAACTGAGTAGAGCAGTGAGGCTGTCTCCAGTGACCTTCCTTGCAAAGGCTGTGTTACACGCACGTGTACACCACCAGTCTTCACATGCAGGTTGTCTTTTTATCTGCTGGAGATGGTGCATCCTCCCCAGCCTGGTGTTCCGGGCAGTAATCAGTGCCCCTTAAACTATGGACAAAAGGGATAATTGTTCTGCGTGGTGACAGACTTCTTAAACAGACATCATGGGGAAGCAAGCAGATCCAGGAGCCCAAAAAGTGAACAGAGGAAGTTAAACCCATTTGAATACGGTAAGAATTTAGGAGCTGCAGCTATTTCTACTGGAAATATTCAGGAGGACATTAAAAAACAGAGCTCAGGAGTGACTCTTGTGGAGACACACTGACTTGCAATGGGACAGTTGGAAAGCACAGGACAGACTGACAGTGGCCTCTTGACACAAGCACCTGGGAACATGAGCATGAGAAAAAACATCTGAACCACTATGTAAATCTCCAGCAAATACAGAAACAAGGATTTTCATATCGCTGGTTTAATTCTGTCCCCATGAACGCCAAAACACTCCTCACCTAGGAAATGTTGCTGAGCCGTATGGCTTTGTTTCTTTTATATCTGAGCCTACTGGTGTAGGTCAAGGTCCCTCTAGACATGTCTTCGTCTTTCCTTTCCTACAACCTCTTCCTGGTGTTTTCACTTGGAATTGTGTGGGTGCAGGATCAGGCTAAAGATGTTATAAATATTTAACAGTACAGTCCATTCTTCAGCTGCTCTGACTCTGTGCAGTTCAGAGTGATACCATTTACCCTTAGTTGGCTTACCAGTTCATGACCCTCAGGCAGTTTTTTCCTTTGGAATAACCCATCCTATTCTTGTTCTTGCCATGGCTGGTTATGATACAACAAACTCAGGCGTCTGATTTGAAACCCAGAGTTTCTGTTGCTGAATCTGCCAAAAGTCCTTTTAAAAGATTCAATTTTAATGTGCTCACAGGATCAGGGAGGAGAACTTCAGAAAAATGTATGAGCCCAATATAGAGCAAGTGATAAACAGGATGTTTTCTCTATGGTGTCAGCAGTCTTTAGCTGAAGGTGGGCTGGGTCCTACATCAGGTTATTGGAATTTCTCCTCATGGTGAGTGGCGAACAGCTGAAAGGAGCTTTGTGACTCTGGCAGTCAGCAAGTCAGAAAATCACTATAATTAAATGGATGTAAAAGCAGAATTACAAAGAAGAGAGATCTGTAAGCACTCATCAGAAAGGATAGCACAGAATGAGTGTTCTGAAAGGAATTGAAGTTTGCAAAATTATAATCCAGTAATTAGGGCAATTAAAGGAGTTGTGAAATATCCAGGACAGAAGACCCAGCAGAATAATTCTAGTGTGCTGCTCCCTCCCTGAATGAAATTTCTGTTTGTGGAGAAAAAAAAATGTAAAGATAGGGAAAAAATATCAGGTAAAAATAAAAGCAAAGATTGTTGAAAAGCTGAAGCATTGTATTACGGGAGTGAAAACATCACTTCAAAACAATTGCTTAAAAAAATCTTACTTAGTTTTTCCAGACTTCATAGGAAAAAAATAAATTCTCTGGTGTCAAATGGTTTAGAATAGATTCATTTTCAGGTGCTTCTTCAGTATATCCTGGCAGTAAATCCCGAGAGCTGTGAATGCAAGATCTAACAATTATTTCAGTGTGAACAGAATTGGGGCAAAAACTGGTAAACCAAACCCACGCTCGTGATCTGGGAGCCCTGTTGTGGTTTGCCACCAAAGCCCACTGGCACTACTCTAAGCAGAGGCTCAGCTATGGCTTCTGCTTTGTTACCTGCATTCGTGAGGGTCTCATCCAGGACATTTTTTATATCGTGCTGCTAGGCTACTCCTTGTTTTACTAACCCATGCCTTGCTTTCCCAAGTCTCTGACAGGTGCAATGCTGACACGAGAGGCTTTGCCTTTGCTTCTTTCCAAGCCGGACACTTACATGCTTCCTGCTAATTTTGGGGGACATTTAAGCAAAAACTCGCAGGAGCCGACACTGGGCAGCTGCTCTGGGCAGCCGCCATACCCAAGGGCAGCTGGGGAGCACGGAGGCTCCAGAGAAGTGCTGACCTGGAGCAGGAGCCCAGCCCTGGGAAGGACCCCCAGCGCCAGGAGGCCTTGCAGCAGCCCTGCCATCCCTGCAGCTGACCCACCCTGTGCAGCCCCTTCCCCCGGGCACTGCGCCCACCCCAGCAACCAGCACGTCCTGCCTGTGACAAAGGGCGGCCATGGCCCCTTCAGGAGGGGTGAATCCTGTGAGGGGAAATCCCCACCAGCCTACAGCGGCATCTGCCTCCTCCCGCCGCCCTACCCAGCCCCTCAGGGAGGCCCCTGGCCCATGGTGAACGGGGCACACCACCACCACCAGCTCTCAGCACCGCCGAGGAGAAGCGAAGGAGATGGGGGCGAGGGAAGGCGCTGTACGGGTCTCAACTACTGCAACGACAATATGTATTTTAACCTGTACCCATTACGATGACTGAGTTTAAATGTCCTCTCTCCCTCCACCTCTGGCAACAGGCCTAATCTTCCATCCCTGTTGCAGTGTGGATGCAAAAGTGCTACCATACCAACTCCCTCTTTAGCTCCTCTCACAGGCCTGAGGAAGAGCTTTCATGTCTGAAGACTTGTCTCTGTTCTGTCTTCTTTTTTAACTGTTATTTTTCCCCTCACTATTTTATTGATCTAATAAAAAGTGTCACTAAAAAGTATCACCCCTTCGTACGGGCTGCCTCACTGCCGTTATGGTTTGGTAGCATTTCAATCCCCCTGGATACTCATTTTGTTCAAGCCTGTGAGACTGCAGAAGGTGCAGATGGATGACCTCAAGGACCACAGCTGTTGCATGCGATCCTCTGCACTCTTCCAGCTTCTTCTGGCAGTTATCTAAGTCCCTCCACTGCACCAGCCCTGTGAATGTATTGCATAGAATCATCACAGAATGGTTTGGGTTGGAGGGGACCTTCAAAGATCATTTAATCCAACCCTCCTGCCATGGACAGGGACACCTTCCACTACACCAGGTTGCTCAAAGCCCCATCCAACCTGGCCTTGAACACTTCCAGGGATGAGGCAGCCACAATTTCTCTGGGCAACCTGTTTTAGTGCTTTGCCACTCTCACAGTGAAGAATTTCTTCCTTACCTCTAATCTATATCTACCCTTTCTCAGTTTAAAGCCATTTCCCCTTGTCCTTTCACTACTTGACTGTGTGAAAAGTCCCTCTCCAGCTTTCCTGTAGGCCCCCTTTAGTTACTGGAAGGCTGCTATAAGATCACCCCGGAGCCTTCTCTTCTCCAGGCTGAACAATCCCAGCTCTCTCAGCCTGTCTTCATAGCAGAGCTGCTCCAGCCCTCAGATCATCTTTGTGGCCCTCCTCTGGACTCACTCCAACAGGTCCATGTCCTTCTTGTGTTGAGGTCCCAGAGCTGAACGCAGTATTCCAGGTGAGGTCTCACGAGCAGAGTAGAGGGTCAGAATCACCTCCCTCGACCTGCTGGCCATCCTTCTTTTGATGCAGCCCAGGATTCAATCGACTTTTTGGGCTTCAAATGCGCACTGCCAGCTTATGTCCAATTTTTTATCCACCAGTATCCCCAAATCCTTTTTTGCAGGGCTGAACCCAGTTTCATACATGCATATATTCAAGGTGTCTTGCCGCTTTTTCCAGCCACTTTTCATTTCTTTCATTGCAGACTGTAATGAATCCTTCAGCATCCTTTCCATATGTCACCCCCTTTTCTGCCCACTTCC